CTTACAACCCCAGACGGGACCYCCGCTCACAGGATCAACATCTCCTTATGGTTTCCCTCACTCACTTTAAGACCCGTGGTGACCGTGCCTTCTCCTCTGTGGCCCCCAGGCTCTGGAATGAACTCCCTGTTAATCTGCGCTCCATTGATAACCTTGTCTCTTTCAAGACACTCCTAAAAACTCACTTTTTCTCTCAAGCGTTTAGCTAACCATTTCACCATTACTGCCAGCCTACCTCAAATGCTCGCCCATCTGTTTTTAATTATTGAACTTACGCCATATTTTCTCTCCCACATTCATTATGTTTTTGTGTATTATTGTATATTTTGCCCTGCATTGATCTTGTGTTTGATTTACAATTTTAGAAATTTTTTCTTGATTTGATGTTTCAGTTTTTTGTTGCTTATGTGTAATTATGTTTTTCTGTTTCATCTTATTCCACCWTTTTTATACKGTTAATGTTTGTACAGCACCTTGTGAATATATTTCTGTGAAAGGCACTTTATAAATAAAACTTTACTTACATACTTTACTTATCATTTTGCAGGTATATGGACATAGTCAATCCCATTGATTTTTTAAAAATTCATCTTTATTTTACATGTTATATAGCCTGYAGGATGTAAAAAAACAAACAACCAATAAAGTTAAACAACCATCTCTCAACCTGCTCTGCTGCTAGAAATAAGTTCTACTTGTCTCCCCGTCCTCCTTTCCTTGCTCCTCTGGGCTGCAGTTGCTGTTATCTCTGCCCARTCTTCTGCCTGTCCTCATGACCGACAGTCCACTTCAACCCCCGCCCCCCAATAAGAATATTTTTGTGAATTTTACAGATTTTTGAGGGCAGCTAACCGTCCAGAGGGGTTGACATGCATGTAACATCACACAAGATATTTGTTTCAAGGGGCAATATTATGTGTTTCTCAGGCATATATTTAAATTCTATACCATAATAAAGTCACCTTCAGTTGTTATTAAAATGCTGGTTTTATGTTTAAATAGAAAATAAACTTGACTTCTCATCATACCTGTTTCTAAACACCTTGAAATTGGCCTCTGTCTCTTTGAGAACCTCCTTCTGATCCCTCCGTGCCCATTTCAGCACAGGGCCAGGTGTGTGTGCTCTGTGATGAGGAAGCTCAGCTTGGAGACACAGCCCAGAGGAGGAGCTGGTCCCAAAAGGAGGTTCTAGACCCAACCAGTTGTTTTTGCTCCCCTGCCTGGCTGCCTAAAAACGCTGCAGGATTTCTCAAACATGCATGAATGAGTCAAAGTATGGCTCTGGGTATGTTTTTGATGAGAGGATAACATTATAACATGATATAAAACTCAAAAAAGTTGATCTTACATGATATTGCCCCTTTAAGAATTTGGCAGCATACTACCTAGTAATTACCACGTACATACCTAACAGGAAATGTACCAGGTAAGTACCTTCTCTACCTGGCACAAATTATGTACTACCAAGTCTCTGGTGACATGTGATAAACGTTTCTTCTAACACTTGTTTCATTAATCCAAGCCTTTTACATGTATGGCCTTGAAAATCTTTTTAGGCCTACTTTTTGTCTGCTTGCAGCTCTCAGRGGTGTAAACCACCGTGATGAATCACTTTAATGAATCTCATACATCTTGAAGAGGCTGACGACGCTGCATGATTCAGTGTTATTCAATTCTATAACAATGCTGAGAACTTCCTCAGCATCTTCCCGTGGTAAAGTTGGGGTGCCATTTGAGCAYGAGGCACCAGATGGCAAACAGATTTGTCCGTGTTCTTTCCAGATTTGAGTGCTAGCTGCCTGCCCATAATGAGCTGATCTAACAGACTTTGCAGCTGGGCTCATCCGCAGTGATAATCAAATCCATGAAAGCAATTACCAATAACTGTACTTTTAAAAGCTCATTACAACTACTGGAAGGATGGCGTGGCCATCGATCAGGCTTTTCATTAATGCCGAAAAATTCTTCATTGTATATTTATTTWAAATTCCATAACCGCAGAAAATGATCAACCTAAACGCTGTAATCTTTGCAAACAGGGCAGTCAGAAATATTTCATGGCTTCTGCATTAGAGCAACAGCAACACAGCGACGCTTACAGAAGAACTCTGGGTTGGAACTTAGTTGAGGAGCTTGTTCTCGTGGGTTGAACAATGTGTGCTGTGCTGTGTGAGTCAGAGTTCTTGAAGAGGAGGAGAGTGGAGAAAGGTTGCATCCTTGTCATGGTGTTGCTCTACATTCAGTCTGGGTGATCATGAGCCGGAGCTGCTGTACGGGGCTGTAGGCAGCAATGAATCACAGACATGTTGAAACTCTGTAGTGGCACAGATTCCTCTTTAAAAACAAGCCCACTGTCCTTTTTTCCATTTACTCCCCTCTAATGTGATCTTTCCGACCCTTTCCTCCACACATAATAGGAGACATTTTATGCCTATTGTCATAACAACAAACTCCTAATATGCACAAAAAATATGAGAGGCTGAGTGCCTCAGTTTTCTACAATAGCTCTTTGTGAAGCACTTGGGTCAACACTTGTTTTAAAATATGTTATATAAATAAAACTGGCACTGACATTCAGTAACCTGGCTCACAGTTCAGACCTGCCACTGAATAACGTTTTTAACTATTTGATTGAAATAACATTAAATATAAATCTGAACTCAGTCAATGCACARTAAAAAGGTTTTCACACACTTGGGGGTGGTCTGGACCCATTTTGTTCTCATAAGTTTTATAGTCTGAACATAATTTGACCCGAACCAAGCCGTACGATCTAAAGAACTGACGCAAGCAGGCAGGCAGCAGAGTACGGTAGATATTTAAAGGTAAAAATAAAAGTCTGCTCAGCTGACTGAAGATAACACCAATCCTTGGAAATAATGTGAAGCTACATCTTATTTTGTTTAAGTTGTAAATTTTTAACTAGATGTTTCGATGAAAATTTAATCAGATTCCTTTTCAACATATATGACCTGTTTTGAGATTATTACAGATTACAAGACATCATATGAGCGAGTGCTCCTTTACTTTATTGTTGTTTCACCTCCATAATGAGTAGGGGCGCAACAACACATGTAACTGTTCAATACAGTGCTTTAGGTTCAATACATACTATGTATGGAACAATACAGATTTTTAAAATGTATTTTATCAACTTGTCTTCTGAAGATGCTCTGTGTCAAAGGATCAGTGGATCTGTGCTCGACTACTCTACCTAGGATGCATTGAGTGCAGATCCACTGAGAAACTTGCTGTTTCAGCAACATTTAATTTAAAAACTGTACTTTTGAGGTTAAACAAATGTTCATAATTAATATAAATAAATTACAAGTTGAAAGGGGCATGGACATTTCTCTTTTTTATATTGAAAAAATATCAAACCGTGAGACTAAAGTATCGGACTGAACTGAATTGTGAATTTTCTATATCCCCTAATGATGAGTTGTATCAATCAGAGGATGTCTGAGCAGCAATATGTTCAGTTGTATTAATCTTAAGAAACAAAGAGTTAATAAATTCACAAAGCTGTGCAGAAAACTGATGTCTGAGTATTGTGGAATTTTACAGTCTTTGCTCTGATCCTGAGCTATGTAAAATCATTAATAACTGTTTTTTTTTTTGTTTACATACCTGCTCCCTCCTGCAGGACTTGCTACATCAAACAAACACACATCCAATTTTACACCTGATGAGCTTGACCCACAGCCTCAGGTATTCTAGAAGGCAACACTGACCACCAAGCGACTGTGTCCCCTCACTCATAATTGTCGTGTCTTTATTTCCTCTWTATCAATTATAACAATTTATAACCAAATGTGAACAGAGGCGTCAGCACGGCCCACTTACTTTAATGCAAACATGTCTAACGAACRTTAACTCAGACTTATTTGGATGCAGCCTTTCAGAAAAATCAATAGCTTAAATGAAAATCCAGAAGAAATTCTCTCTGTAACACTTAGTGAATGCTACTGGCAGTTGTTCCTTCAGACGAGCMATTAATGGTCAGACAAAGGTAACATTACTTCAAACATCCTACTCAGCTAAAGCAACAATTAACCTTTAACTGCTAATTGTTTGTTATTCCTCCTGAACTCTGCACCTGCACATCTGTTAGACTGGAGCTGTCCTACATAACAAGGTGGCACAGCAAACATTTTTTTATGTTTCCCTGGGCACAGCAGTGCWCCACAGTGGCACTTCAACATTCTGACATTGAAACATTGTTCATCTGCAGTGGCTGAGTTGAGTGAACATCATCACAATCTAGAAAAGTATGCTGAGCTCTTGGAAAAGCACTTGAAAATCCAGCCCATCATTATATCACAAACCCCAACGACAGAGGATCAGCGTGGGCTTCTGAAGAAGCCTTTTGGGAGAATGACACTGGATATATGCAGCAGTGGAGATGTGTCTCATCACCACTCACACA